CTTTCGTTGGTCCTCGATTGTTTGGGCCCTTGCTGACTGTTGCGTTGCAGGCCATGCGGCCTGCCAACTAATCAGTATCTTGAGACACCCTGGGGTTATGGCCCCGACACTTGGACTCCAATCTTTCCTTTCTATGGAGCCCAACGCGTCTTCTTGCTTCATGCCTTGCTGCCTCTGTCAATAGGGCTCATTCCCTTGATGACATCATCTTGGTAGCTGATCTGGCAATCTGGTTAGCCGATCTTGTTGATTATTTCGGCTTTCCCTTGACTGATTCTGACCTCGAGGCCTTTTCACGTCAAACCAAATTTTGGTGTCAACAAAGTGCACACACGATATAGAAAAGCTAAGTGAGTTTAAGATATGGAAAGATAGTGCATGCGCTGTAGAGTACCATTATTGATCTTCCATCTCTTAAATAATACAAAACTTACCTGATCCGATTAAGCCTTGAAGTATGTCAAATCTCTAAGAAACATGAGCGTGGCAAGACCTTAGTGATTTTGGTAGTTGAATGACAATATATCCTATAAAACTAATGACTATGTTTGATAGTCTACAACTTACACTAGTCCTAAAGATGCAAAGATGACATGAGCTATGCTAGGATCAAGATCGAGGAATTAACACCTCAAATGAATATCAAAGAGCAGTCATGAAGACCCTTGAAGACAAGGAAAAAGCTTAAGACATCAAGGATGATAAGTACCACTACGTCATATCTGATAATAACTGCTAGGTCGGAAGCCCCCATCACTGTCGGAATCCATGCCCCATCATCATCATTGGAACCAGGCATGGTGATAGTGGTGGGTGATGGCTTGGCAGAAGCAGAGGAGGCTGGTGGTGCCTGGACGGGATCAGAGGCAGCAGGGGAAGATGATCGGTTAGATACCAAGGTGTTACGTCACCATTGCAGGGGTAATGGCAATGGTGGCGGCAGCTCGCCCTGGCTACATAGGTCGTAGCCATCGGTACAGTCGGGGCGAGGTTTTGCCCTCTGCTCCCTATTTTGTTGGAGAGGATGAATAGGAAATAGACTAATTCATTGTTTAACCAAATCTTAGAGTGCCCAACGGCTTACATAGAGTTTGAGGCTAACAATCATCCTAAAATTACTCTCAATCACTTGTTCGAGCTTTTTTCGAACTGATTCCTATAAAATTCATGTGAAAATCCTGCAAAATTATATTCCTATATCCCAAATAGGGCCTGAATAAGGTATCCTCACTCACGAATGATAAGTTATTAGCAAATATGTAATAACAGCCAGCAAGATATCAATTCAAAATTTAGAACATCAAACAACCACATCACAAAATATATAAGAGTTCTCAACTAACAAGCTTTTTTTAAAAAAAAAATCCTGAATTCCTCTAGGTTTTAGTATAGGAAGAGAAATTATCAGATATCACATTCTAAACATTAGATAATCCGTATAGAATTTGCAGATAATCCATATCCGTTAGATTTTTCTTTATTCCATATCCTACCTCACATCTAGTTTGATTTTTACTATCCATATCTGCATGTGCAGATATCAAATGTTCTTTTCCATAACCTCAAATTCGGATTTGGATTAGATCAGAACAGAGAATTATCCATGCCACTTTCACCCCTACTTTTCTACACTTATGGAGTACGTGTCAATGTAGTCACCCTTCTTATTTTTCCCCTTTACTACTCCACCTAGTTGTTTGGACTAGAAGATGGAATTTTGGTGTCGAGGCTACATTGGCGTGTACCTTGGTCAACTACCTATGGAAGATGGAAGACCTCATGGCATTTATAATAAGTATCACAATGTATCACTGATATCATCACCATATGTATGAATGAACTGATCATAATATATATGTAAAATGTATTGGGTTTTGTCGTTAAAACTAGGTGTGGCACTAAATTTTAAAGAATTCAAATCAAATTCAATTGTTTATGGATTAAAGATAATGGACACTTGCCATGAACATACCTCACCATGGGGAGGTACACTCATGGTGAAACCCCATCATTCGTAATACATGCCGCCTGACTAAGAGCATCTCCAAGAGTCTTTTTATATCCTTCAGTATTGATAGGAATAGAGATTTTGGTGTACCCCACAGCTCTTAAACTAGATCTCTAAATATAGAGAGCGGTTTTTACTAGAATGACTCTCCAAATGAGGATTAGAGAGTGGGTTTAAGAAAGAGAAGCTCTAAGGTGCTCGTGGACATGGGGAGCAGGCTCCATAATGTCTATACCAAAACATTAGACAATATGAAGATCTCACATCGGTGCGCATTTCCACGAGGTCATCCCCAGGGAGTCAACCTTTGTACTCAGGTAGCTAACTGTGCCCGCCACTTTTCATACACTAGATAAATTATGGAGTGAGATGCTCATCTCTTTGAGGTTGTTGACTTTGAGGGGGCATAGTACGCCATATTCCGATGACCCTACTATGCCAAGTTCAACTACTACAATAGATTTATCATTGCCGGTTCTACTTGACGATGGTGAAAGTTGGCAGTGAAATGGTGTTCACCACCACCGGTTTGCACCGGCGAAGGTGAATAAAATATTTGAAGAAAAACAATATGTGCCTCACCCGCACTAGTGTCGTCATCGTCCCCAGCGTGTCGTCAATGTTTTCCTTGCTCTCAAGAGAGGGGCCTGCTGCCACACCAAGAGAAGGAGAGCTACTCCAAGAGAGGGGATGACAAGGGGTGCTATTGTGCCGGAAGAGATTGGGGCGGGGCCGCTAGCACCATGTCCATGCCAAATCTGATCGCGAATGAGAGAGGGTCGTGGCGGGCCATCGACATTGTGCTAGGAGAGGGGGATAGCCCCCGGCCCTATTGTGCCATCCTCACAAGAAGAGACTGGAGAGGGCCTCTGCCGCCACACTGGGAGAGGGATGGTCAGGGCCGTTGCAACACTTGTCCATACCAGATTCGATAGTGAACGAGAAAGGGAGGTGGCAGGTTGTTGTCGTTGCACTAGGAGAGGGGGTGAGCTTACATTGTTGTCGTGCCGTCCTTGCTAGGAGAGGTTGTGGAGCACCACCATTGGCCCAATCCATGATAGATCTGTCCACAAACGAGAGAGGGGAGGTGGTGGTAGGTTGCCGCCACTCTAGGAGCAGGTCGAGACCCTACAACTGCTACACCATCCTCGTTAGGAAGGGTAGGGCCAGGTGTGGAACAGGAGGGTGAGGGAGAGAAAGGGGTCGCGCCCGAGTGTGGGAGAGAGTGGATGGGTAGGTAGGGTTTCTAGTTACATACTAAGGTCGATTTTCGGTGCTAGTTCATCGCCTGAAGCGTTGTTATAAACCAGCCCAATTTTCACCGCCGGTTCAAGCCACGAATTGGCGGTGATATATCATCACTGTTGGTTTTAATAGAACTAATTGTGAAAATACCATAGGGAAAAACCAATTTACGTACTATTGATTCATGACCATCGCGAACTATACCTACCTAAAGATAAAGAGATGTTGGGCCCTAAGGGGGTCATCATCATGGTTTGTGAGAATCTCCAGTAGGCCTTCGACTGTGATATGGAGAGCTATAAGCTTGACATGGTTTGAATGGCTGTTGTCGAGCTAGACGAGCTTCGGTTGGAAATTGCCTCTCATCCTATGATGGATGAACCCCATCCAAGGAGATATGGGGCAACCATGTTCAAGCCGATAGAGGAAACGAAGAATGTGGGTGTTGACCTAGAAGACTCCACCATTACAACCCTGGTTGGGACAACGATCGATGAAAAATAGGAAAGCGTGCTCTTTGCTTTACTCCACAAGAATAAGGACATCATCGTGTCGAAGCTCTCTAACATGCTAGGTGTCCCAAGGGAGGTGATCACGCGGAAGCCCACTATTGTGGGTTGTTTCCCTCAGTTACTCATGTTAGGCTTCACGCTATGTGAGTATGTCTTATGTTGATGCTTCGAGTAACAATAGGATGGTTCATATGAGAATAAGAGTGTTGAGGATGGTGATTTATGTCATGATGAAGAATGATGTCCTTCTTCAATGATATAAGACCATAGTGTTAATTTGTCACCATGAATCTTCTTACACTACTGCTAAACAAAATAACTAACAAAAACTTACAATATTTGTAAGTGAACATGATGTTGGGTATTGATATTGATATATTCTTCTTGATTTTGATTATTTTATAAATTCTGCTATTAGGACTTAGTGCCTATAGTGGCACCCATGATCTGCAAATTAAAGTATCAAACATTAATCCACTACCAGGCCCATACGAGGTTTTTGCAGATATAGCCGAAGATAGCTACTCAGCAAGATTAAAGCTAGGATACTTAGCTTTTCGCGCTAAGAAATGGCAAACGCTAATAGATGGAGATAGCCACAACATGGGTCAATTTTAGGGCAGCTAAAATCTTATTGGGCCAAGAAAATCAGGAAACGGCCCACCTAATACATCCCAACCCAACCCTAGCCTACATTCCATATCCGGTCTCCCACCCGTCCCTTTTTCTTTGATTTTTACAAAAACAGCTAAATAATATCTTAGCTGCAGCTATCTCTGGCTATAGCTGTACTTAGCTGTTGAGAAGGACAGCAGCTAAATAGCTTAGCCGGGGATTTAAAACCTTGGGTATTTGTTACCTTGGTGACAAATGGCTGGGGAGGTAACTAGGTCCGGTGGACTGGTGGAAAGTTTATGATATGTTGTCATAAAAAATAGCAAAACCTCTCGTATAGCCAAGGAACAGAGATTTATTCTTGGAATGACAAAACTACTGCAATATTAATAATACAGTGTCACGTTGTTGCCAGGCAGGGACCGATGGAAATTCTACATTAAAATGAGGTCAATAGAGACAAACTACTGCAATATTAATAATACAGTGTCACATTGTTGCGAGGCAGAGAAAAATTAAAAACAGGATCTTAGTTCTGAAGAAAATCCATGTCATCAACATATCACAGAGCGGGTTTCACTTCATCTTGGACATCGATTCATCCTTGGAAAGACAAGGTCTCATGCATGCTGGAAAGGGGAGACCTGAAATTTCGTATAGAATGTTAATTAGCACAACAGAGATAGCATAAAAGGTTCTACCGATATTAGGCTATTTAATAAGTTAAAATTGTATTTAAAAATCAATGGCAATCAATTAATTATGATACACACACTGATAGTTTGTTTGGTCTTTTGGTTTTGTAGAATCTAGCTAGTTCGGACTGTAAAGGAGTGTCATTGCAGGTGAAGAAAATGAAACTAAATCCAGACATTGAGTCACCTTATTTGATGATGTTCAGAGTGTAATAATACATGAAATTATTTTTTCGTATTACATAACACAACACAATGAAACTGTAATGATGTCTCAATTGTTCACACCTGGTCAAAAATTGGTACACGTTTCCCATTGAGTTTATCAACAATATCCGCTATGGAAGGCCTCTTGTTCCGATCAGCCTCCACACACTTTAGTCCAATTATAATGCATGCTTTTACTTGCTGAAGGCCATTTGGATCCAGTAATGGGTACTTGTACATTATTTGCTCATCTGTCTTCCAATTTTGATGTATCTACAGAGTTGGATTTATTCCTTAGTGATAATGTATTAGCTGAATGCAAGAAAAGATTCCAAAAACAGAAGTTTCAAAATTCAAGGCATCAAGTAGTAGTGCTATCTTACATTGTCGACAAACTGTCTTGCAGATCTGTCTTCAGAAGCTGAAGAGTTCCTCTCTCTGGTCGTAATCTCAAGAATAATCATGCCCAAACTGTATATGTCAGACATGGTGGAGATTTCACCTCTGTATAGATATTCCGGAGCTATGTACCCACTGCAATAGTTTATCAAAGAATCAAACAGCGTTTACTTGTAGTAAATAGAATGAATATATAATCATATATTTCACAGTTGTTTCTGCTTACTTATGTCCCTTAACATTGACTGTATACATCCGGGTCTGCTCTTTGCCAAAGAGTCTCGAGAGTCCAAAATCGGCAATCTTTGGCACCCAATTATCATCCAACCATATCGAGTTAGGCACAAGATTCATATGGATAAGAGGCCCACCAACTAATTCCTTATGAAGGAAATGTAAACCCTGGCAGATCCCCTTAACTATCTTGAACCGTGTGTTCCAGTTTATTGATGTAGCATCTCCTAGATAAGTAAGAAATAAAGAAAGTACTAATAGTGAGTTATAAGTATCCCAAAATAGCATTGTCCAAAAGTCTAAATTGCTTACATTGGTGGCAACAAAACAAATATCGGAAACAAGAATCATAATAACTCTTTTGACACTTGTTTTTATCTTTCAAGTATGTATGAATAGTAGAGAGAGGAGATGTGTGTTGGATAGTGCATTGCATACCATAAACATATTTGTCAAGACTCAACTTTGGTAGATATTTGTAGCAAAGACAGCTTTCGATGACGTCCACAATCACATATCTTCCATTATGCTGAACGACTTTCTTCTGCGACTCATGGCAGTAGTGAACCAGCTCTACAATATTTTCGTGTTTAAGTGCCATAAGATTTGTAACCTCAGTTTCAAATGTTATGCCAGCCGGCACTGGTGCGTTTTCAGCAAGCCTCTTCACAGCAATCATGCGGACCCCTTCTGGAAGAACACCCTGTTTAACTTTAACCTCTGTCAGTGAAACGGTTTTGTATGTAAGAATCTGATGTGTAATTGTTAGTGTCCACACGCACCTGATAAACTGTTCCGAAAACAGATCTACCAAGTTCTCGGTCAACAGAGAAATCCTTGGTAATTTCCTTCATGAAGGTCACCGGTAGGTTTGTTGGTAATGTACTCGCAAGACTCGGCTGGCTCTGCAGGTTCGCCATTTCTGATGACCTTCAAGGAGGCAAGGGGCTACGGATCTGAACTGCTACAAATCGAGGCTTCTTCTACTGTATCCAAACAAGCAAGAAAGTATGCTTAACCACATACATAAAGCAAGAACAAGATCGTTTCTAAGACATTCCAAGGTCAAAGACAGCTTAACTCAGCAGGGGTAACACTGAATAGGCACAGGCATGAGCAAGTGAAAACTTCAGGAATAAACATCTTGTTAGAAGGACTGACCTGGAGAAGAACACTTGAGGATCCTAGTCCTAGCTGCAGCGTGCAGGAAGGATCCTGGAGAAGAGCATACAGATTAAAGGCGGATGAGGATGCCTCCATTATTGCTGCAAAGAATATATAAAGAAGCAGACAGCAGGCTAGAACCAACCGCGTTAACAAAGACAAGTTGACTTGACCGAGTTAAGGTGGTGTTCTAAATTTTACTCGCGGTCTCGTTGAATATTTAGATACATGAATAAAGTATTAAATATAAATTAATTATAAAATTAATTGCATAGTTTACGACTAATTTACGAGACGAATCTTTTAAGCCTAATTAGTTCATGATTTGATAATGTGGTGTTACAGTAAACATGTATTGGTGACGGGTTAATTAGGCTTAAAAAATTCGTCTCGTGAAGTACTGAGGGATTATGTAATTTATTTTTTTTTTATTAGTATCCGAACACCTCATACAACATCCTCTCGACGTACCTCCTAAATTTTAGTCACTGCATCCAAATACCCTGATGCTAAATGCCCTGTCCAATGTGGTTCCCACGTGGTCACGCGCTTGGAAAAAGCAGGACAAGAAGTATTGCATCGATCCGATAAAATGTAACGTGGTGATGTTTTAGGATTGTCCTGAATCAAGCTATCTCAAATATAATTTGGTCTTATAAATATTAATATCTTGAAGAAAATTCACTATTTAGACTGAAAATATGACGTGGTTACTTATTTAGCACCAAAGGATAAAATTTCCTCAATATAACTTAGGTTCGTTTTTTATTACCTATGTAGCACTGTGGTTAGACGTGGCCACTAACACCGTCAACGGGAAAAAAACTATTTTACCCATGTTTCATATGTAACACTGTACCATCATCAACTTGTCAATAGTGATATTTTATTGCACTTTTTTTTTGATATTACCATTTTCTTACATTGAATATTTTTTGACAGTACAACTTTTTTGGACCGTGAATAGCTTTTGGCAATACAAATTTTTTCCATAAATTATTTACGGCAGTATAATTTTGTGGACAATGACAATGTTTTAACAGTACCAAACGTACATTAAATTCACACATATACAAAATTATGCATTTGGTACTCTAAGTACTCCTGCTCACTAAGATTACAAGAGCACATATATCCAATCACTCAAGCTTTAAAGCTCTAATGCCTAACCTTCACAAAGATGAACACTGTCCTATTATATATCTTGGATGTGATCAATATATGCACTTGAGAGGATGAATGGAGTATATAGAATCATTTGCCCTAGCTTGGGAACTCTAACAATATCAGACAAGCGAGTGGAAACCCATATATATACCTATCCACACCCTAGTGGTTAGACAAATTCTGCCAGAAATGTAATTAGACGGAAGGTCGGGTGCCTACTGAATCTCACCAACGATCCATTCAGTTATAACTGTTGAACTAGGTGTTGCAAATTAGCTGATGCAGCTGGTCCAGTGCTCACCGTTTTTTGCTCGCCGGACTGTCTGACCTTCTATCCGGTGCTTCTCCGGCACTCACATTCCTTCTCACCGGAATGTCTGGCCTATTCAAATAAACAGTTTTCCCAACACAGCAGACTGCCGGACACCTGGGATTTTTGTCTGGCCACTTCACTTTCCTAGCTGATTTGGATCGTTTGTCCAAGTCATCTTGGATGTTGCTTCACCAATCTTCATGCCATTTGTTTCTTTGGACCCCTAGGATTTTTTGGACTTAGTCTAATACAACTTAACACACATGTTAGTTCTAATGATTTGGTTGTCATCTAAGTCCCCTAAATCATGTACATGAGCACATAATCATTACAAAGTCCTTGTGTATTCTGTACATATTTTCTTTCTATGAAAATTAATAAAATTCAGTAGGGCCCTCCCATATTGTTTGGTCAAAAAAATGTTGTTCACAGAACATGAGAAAAAACAAATAACAATTATGCACAAACAATTTTTAACAGGTTATGCATGCAGATTTGTGACACAAAAAAATACAATAACTCAAATCAAGAAGGAGCTCCCAAAAAAGTGACATGACACAAGGAACACGCTATTCAAAAGAACATAATTGTTAACTGATACAATTATTCTGAATTATTCTGTCCATGATTCCATCTAGAGCAAATCGCCATGGGTCTGCAACAGACTTTTCACTTGCATAATATGCACTAGTTCACCATTCAGTGAGCATGCCTTCCGTCGAGCTTGTCAACAATTTCAACTATCGAAGGTCTCTTGTTCTGATCAACATCCACGCATTTTAGCCCAATTTCGATGCATGTTCTTACTTCCTGGAGGCTGCCTGCATCTAGTAGTGCTGAGTGCTTGGATGCAATGTGCTCATCTGTCCAGGTTTCACGCACCTACAGAGTTAAGAGGTGTGAGCTTAAGTGACAACATTAAGCATGTAAAAAAATGTTTTCCAGTCTTAGTCTTGCCTTATCTACAAAGTCCCTTGCTGACATGTCTTGTTTGCTTGAAAAATTCTTCTCACCTGTTGTGATCTCCATGATTACCACACCTAAGCTATATATATCGGACCGGGTTGAAATTTCACCCCTATATAGATATTCTGGAGCCATATACCCTCTGAGAAGTGTGAATGTCAAACGAACGACAAGGATCATAGGACAATGCAATTTGATTTGATTTAACATTTAGAATAAAGAATAATGATATTTATTGGGCTTACTTTTTCCCCACAACATTTATTGTGTTTATTCAGGTTTGCTCTTCACCGAAGAGTCTTGACAGGCCGAAATCCGTGATTTTCGGCACCATGTTTTCATCCAACAATATGTTGCTAGGCTGAAGATCCAAATGAACAATTGGCCTATCCATTTCCTTATGCAGGTAACGTAAGCCCTGGCAGATGCCCTTGATTATCTCGAAGCATGTCTTTCAATCAGGTCTAAAAGATGCATCTGAAGAATGAAAACATGGGTCATGTATTTACATACATCTCAGAAAGTTAATGACAAAACAAATATATGCATGTTAGATAGCGCGTTCTTATGCATACCGAAAATATACTTGTCAAGGTTTCCGTTAGGCACATATTCATAGTAGAGCATGCTCTCAACCACGTCTACAATGATGTATCTTCCACTGTGCTCGATCAATTTCTTCTGCGGTTCATGGCAGTAGCCGAGTAACCTCACTATATTCGGATGCTGCATGGCCATAAGATTCCCAACCCCAATCGTGAACTGCTTCTCAGGTGCCACCAGCGCATTATCTGAAAGCTTCTTCACGGCAATCTTCTCCCCATCTTGCAGAATGCCCTATTACTTTGACCTCTTATCAGACACTGATCGGTGTGCGCTTATTGGACAATATTCTAAAACTGGAGAACATTGTTGTTGAGCATAGTGGTATGGCACCTCATAAACAGTTCTAAATGCACCTTCACCAAGCTTTCGAGCATCAGAGAACCCATCCGTGATCTCTTTCAGAAACTGCGCTGGTGGGTTAGTCGGCAAGGTGTTCAGAGGACTCGACTTGCTGGCCATTCCTGACGATTTGACGCAGCTGCAGATCCGAGCTAATCAAACAAGATTTATTATAGCAACTTCAACTCCAGCAAAAATATGGCATTGTTCATGAACATAGTATGTATAGCATAACACAATACAGATTTTTGCACAAACTGGAAAGTTCTGAAACCAAACGAAAGTAAGCGGCTTGTTAGAAGCACTGACCTGGAGCAGAGAACTTGAGGGATCCAGGCTGGGGAGATCGAGATCGAAGAACCAGACGTACGGGATGAGATTGCTGGCAGGATGAAGGGGGAGCTGCTGCGGTTTTAATAAGATTGTATATAATCCAGCCCGATGGGATCTGGAACGGAGACTAGGAGGGAGTTGACTCTAGACCATGTGAGCAGAGCAGTGTAGGATGTGACAATTTTCGAAGGAATGTGGGAGCAGTTGTGACTTATGAGGAGGTTAGTAGTGAGTGCACGAGTGGGGGATGCTGGGCCGGACCTTGAAATCCCCATCACCCCTTGTGCTAGCTGTCACCGTCACCGTGTCTACACGACTACACCGCGTTCCAAGAGCAAGAGCTAAGTTGCTGACGCTGTTCGTCTAAACGGTGCTTTATTCTGTTTGAACACCATTTAAAATCTCTTTCTTATTGTTTATTCATATTTTAAAATTTGTTTACAATGTTCGTTCTTATTTGGAACTTCTCCTTACCTTTACCTTGTTCTACTCATGTTTTGAGAGCCGCCCTTTTTCGAAAATCCACTTTCTTTTGAAACGTTTTCTTTTAGAAAACCTTTCTTTCAAAGTCTTATTTGAACAATTTTCTTCTCAAAATCCTCATTTTGAAAACTAGTTATATACCTCCTACCATTACAAGCCTTTCCCTATTGAAACATAAGATTCTCCAATCCTCGACCAACTCTCCACTCACCTTATAACATAAAAAAGCCTAGCCTATCCTTTGTTAAACCCCTCCTATGTTAGGGCCCCATAAAGCATGCCAACAACTTGCTACAATGGAAAAGAGGGAAGAGAAACAAGGTTTGCATGAGTTCACTTTTTTAGTTGCAAACATCGTTGCCGTTAGGGTGGGCACACATCAATGATTGTCCACACCCAAACCAAAATCATTATATCCATTCCTCATTCTTCGTGAGAGCATCTCCCGGAGTTTTGCAAAGCAGCTTCTTATTTTGATATTTTAGCATAAAGGGAAAAAAGTGCTCGCCAATAGTTTGGTAAAAGAGCTTCTTCTTAAAATAAAAGGTTGACAAATATCCTCTCCAACTCGTTAGTTTTCGAAGTCGAGAGAAACTCTGTATCCGCTCCCCGTCTAGCATTTTTCTCGAGAGACCGGGGTAAATTGGATACACGAGTAAATTAAGAAAATAAAGGATTCCAGATGACAAAGAAACTACTAGAAAATGTTTTGTTGGTTAGAAATAGTTTAGGGTCCCCAATGCAAAATCGTTTAGAAACTCCTATAAGAGATCGTTGAAGAAGGACAAAAATTAAGGTTGCTATTTATTCTATTAACTTGCTAGATCTATTAATTTAGCGTAAACTATACCAAACTCTTAGAGATGCTTTAATATCATGCATGCTAATTTGCCAAACGTCCAAACCTAAAATGTAATGATGATCAAACTAATAGGATAGCGGTGCTTGGATTAGAGTGCCAATTGATCATCTATGGGTACTAGTAAGTATACCCATATTCTACTCATTTCTAAATCCATATCCTAGTCATTTGATGATGTGGATGTGGGTACGCATATTGAATACCCATCAACTGTATACGTGGAACGATGAGTAAGGTCACTCCTACAGCCCTAGGGGCGCTTGTAGCGTAGGATCAAGATTAAGACAAGAGAAAAGTAGTCTTTCCTGCTACTAACCTACACCCTGTTCGCTTGTTGGTTTCAGCCAGGCTTATTCAACTAGCCAACAGTGTTTTTCTCTCATAAAAAACCAGCACCAGCCAACCCAAACCAACACCAACACCAACCAGCGAACAGGGTGCTAATTACCTAAAAGTTTGCCACGAGTGGATTCAATGACATTGACCAAAGTTGGACATACTTGACTCACAAAAAAATAAAATATCAAACATTTAGAGATGAAGGGAGTATCTCTTTGAAACAAACAACTAGTAACAATACTAATAATGCAATATTGTAAATTGGCATCGGAGCCTTTGCAACCGTACTGGTGCTCCAGCATAGCAAAAGTTCAATACAGAATAACATTACGGTGTCATACATATACATCAAAATTTAGCAGGGATGAGATACAAGGGCTTTTGAGTATTTGAGTTGCATACAGCTTCCAATTTCAACCAAAAAATATAAGCTGATAAGAAAAATATGGGTGGTTCACTTATACTACAATAGGGACTTTACTTTAGATGCAGTTCCACATAAAAAGATTGGCAGTCTTTTGATGGAGCTAATGTGAGAAATAACTGGAACAAGGCAGACTGACACAGGTAACTACTTCCTTAAGGCAAAGGCGGAGAGCCATGTTTTGGCAGTAATTATCGTGAACAACATCTGCCTATGATTCAGCTGAAAAGATGAATGTGATGCTAGACAATGTCAGTAACTTAAGAAAACATGGAATTTGAAAAGGATGAAACACACATGAGCAGATGCAACTTACAAGATTACTGCTGAAGAAATAGTGATAATCCCCCTAGTTGCGGATCTCTGGAACATGCTGCATCTTTTGTTTCATGCCCTTATTGTTCCATTGAGCCTTTGAAATCCTCGTGGAGACCAAGCAACCAAAGCTTCTTAAGACAGTGACAGTTTTCAATTCCTTGAGGGACTGTAGCTAGCTTTGGTAGCGATGTAATGTATATACCCTCAATGACTGGAAGTGAACCATGTCCAATGTCCAGAAAACTCACATCATGCAAACCCATCAAAACAAGTGTCTTAAGGTGAGTGAAGGAGTCAGCAGGAACAACTAATTCGTGTTTACTGTTTATGTTGTTGAGTCTTAGATAGGACAGGTGTGGGGCATGTGATGCGAGGAACACCAATGGATCTTCTCCCCCAAGGTGACAACCGCTAAGAGCTAGATACTTAAGATTTTCCCCATGGTGCTCAAACATTGGGCACTTCAGTGTTCTGCCAGCCCAACAACCTCTGACAATCAACCTGTGGAGCTTTGTGGAAGTTGGTTTGAGATCCTCAAATGAAAGTGGCTCATTCACATTACTAGCAGAGAGAAGCAAGCTATCAAGAAGCGGCATCATTGACAAAACCTTACAAATCTTGCTACAATGGGCAGTAGTTATGTTTTCAATCCACACGCTCCTTAGCTGCATCATATTCTCAAGCTGCTCGGCCAAGTAAATACTTGATTGCACAGTCTCAAGAGTTTGAAGTTCTTCCAGATTTGAAAGCCCTATAGGTGCCTCCACTCCAACAAAGTACCGGAACTCTGACTGCTTCACATCAGCATATCTGTCAGCAAGAATGTGCCTAAGCTTAGTGAGCTTCACAATCCCATGTGGCAGATTTCTAATATTGGTTGACTTGACATCAAGAGTCTGAAGATTGATGAGATTCTCTATAGATTCTGGCAGTACGCTTATTCCTGTATTTCTCAGACCAATGTAACGTAGATTAAACAGATGACCAATTGATGCAGGTAATGTGGTGACTTCTGAGTCTTGCAATTCAAGGACAGTAAGGTATTTGGATTCAGATAATATTGAAGGTATAGACATCACAATGGTTTCACTTGCCATTAGCGTCCGTAGGCGTGGAAATTTCATCTTGGATGCATCGTTTTTCATCTTCCTCCATCTAAATGCAGATGTTTGACGTACATCTCTATCCATTTGAATTACTGCACCAAAATCATTAACAATACCAAACATCTCTACTTTAGAGATTCTAAGGGCTAACTCTCTCAAGATATCATGCATTCTGAATGTACTCACCCCACCAAGTTCATCATTATCAACAACTTGCAACATGTTTCGATGGATCAGTTCCATGAGATAGCCCTCTGCAACTTCCTCTAGTGTACTGTTCCCTTTCTTTACTACAAACCCTTCTGCAATCCATAGTCGCACAAGCTTTTCCCTTGGCAAGGGATAATCTTCAGGGAACATGCTGCAGTACAGAAAGCAATTTCTAAGCTCTCCTGGCAAGTCATAGTAGCTCAGGCTTAGAATTCCACGAACCTGTGCATACTTCTCTAGTTCAGAGGGAAGTTGATCATATATCTGCTTCCAAACTGGCAGAATTAGCTTCCTTGTAGAAAGTAAGCTTCCTATAGATACAATTGCCAAAGGCAAGCCCGCACATTTCTTTGCAATATTAACAGCTAGCACCTGCATCTCTAATGGGCACTTGGCAACTGGCAGGACCACACTTTTCTTTGCAATATCATTAGCTAGCTCCAGGAGTTCTGATGAGCCTTTTGCCATTGACAAGCCCTCACATTTCCTTATAGCATAAGTAGCTAGCTCCTGAAGTTCAGCTGGGCACTGCTCCAGCAATAGGGCCACAAATTTCTTAGCAACACCAGTAGCTAGTTCACGAAGCTCTGCTGGACAGTTCACCAGAGATGATCCGTTACATTTATTTGCAGTATCAGTAGCTAACTCCATTACCTTTGATGGGTCCTCAGACTCGGAGTCATTGTAAGGAAAAGCTTTAGTGCAGAGTAGGCAAAGAGCATCCTTCAGACCTAATGGACTAAGCTTGAGCTGATAATGCTTGGAAGCAAGAGCAGCCACATCCTCTTTCCTTGTTGTGATAACAATGCAACTTCCATTTTTAGAATCTTCAAACACATCTCGCATTGATTCATACACTTGGGGGTTCCATATGTCATCTAATACAACTAAATACTTCTTTGCTCCAAACACTGCCCTTAACTCTGTTTTAACCTTGAGGATGTCCATGCTGTCAATGCCTTCTGATTTCCTCTTCCCCATTTCCATGCTGTCACTGTCAGCTCTTGTCATCTCAAGTAACTTCCTCAGCAATGCCTCCACGCTC